ACCGGCGGACATAGTGACAACCTCACAGAAAACAGAGCAGGACAGGGCATGTCCTCAACAAGAAACGCAAGTTATAGGCAGTTCCCCTTTTCATTAAACCGGCATCCCCCACTGTTAAGATAACGTGACCTCACTGGGAGACAGTGATTTAACCAATCTGCACTGGGCCCAAGGACAAAGTCGTGTGATTGGAGTGGTAAACTGCTGATATGAGGAAAGAAGCTTCCTCCCTTCCCCTCACTATCTCACTAGTGCTGACCTTTCAAGTTTTTAAGAGATATTCTGCAACAATGACCTGCTTAGTATATGTCCAAATCCCCTCCGTTTTGCTGCCTGGACATTTAACTTGAGTCAAAATTATTGTTCTTACAACAGAAAAACAGGCTGGAGCAGTTTGATGAAGTAAACAACCTGACTTCACCTGACTGCTGAAGCTAATTCCTGATCCAAGCCTGTGGGAAAGTTTTACGCAACAAACTGAACAAAGCAAAGAGCAACTGGGTAGCAAACTGTACAAAATGTAGAATGTAAAAAAAACCCTAAGGAAAATACAAGGCCTACTGGTGATCATTTGAAATGTTCAGCGTGCAACAGTTTATTATAACCTCAACTGCTTACTCACTGTCCTATGATCACAGCCAGAAATACACACTTGTCAGCTGTATTTGGACGCAGTTTGGCGTAAAATGCAGAAGTGAAATTCCCAATCAAGTGTCTTCTGGAGTCTAAAATAAGGTTGACAGACTGGAAAAGTGCAACGGTTGCTGACAAAGACCTGCTGATTTGACAAAAAAAGACACTTGAAGCTCTTATTTCGAAAATGATGGAGTTTATAACCAACTCCGCGGTTATAAACACAGCTAGAAAGACTGTGTTGTGATTTTGCAAAGTTACAGGCAACAATGAGCACCCCATAATCTGCTACCCGGAAGCAAACGCTTAAAAAAATAGAGGGGGAGACACAATAAATAAGGCAGACATCTTACCTTGTCAGATTTTGGTTTGTTTTGCAGGAGCTGCTCCAGGTACAGATCAGAAAGGGCTGTCCGGACGCTGTTCACCGGCTCTAGTGTGAGGGCAGGTCCGTTTTTATTGGATTCTAACGTCATCTTCTTCTGTTAGCTTAAAAAAACACTGTGAACCCGACTTGCCCCCAGACCAAGGTTCACAGGAGGCTTGATGAAACTGCTGATAAGGACTCTTGACGACAGGATAAGTCGCCGTCTGGGGTAAAAGTCCAAGGTTTTAATCAGCAGCAGGTGACGAACAGGAGATAACTACAGCGGGGACACCGCTGACGAAGCAAGTAAACACACAACTGCCGCTGCTGCTGCTGCGCTCGGAGCGTCAGGCTCGTGCTGCGTTCAAGTGCCACTTCTAAGCTCCGAACATACACAACTTTACTCTTTTACTGTGATTTGAGGGGAAATAAACTAACCAGTTGCGTGAAAAAGTTTCAAAACATCTTGCACTGCTTTAAATAATGGCTTTGCAAGTACCATTAAACTTTCAAAACGTGTCTTTCATTTGTTAGGTTAAGTTGAAAACAATAACAATAATAATAAACAAGAATAGCTGTTTTTACCATTTTTAAATTAAAAGAAAAATCAAAGAGAATTACAAACCATTTTCACACGGAAGTCGGAATTTCCAAGTTTTAAGTTAAATTTTTAATCTCGAATATAAAACTTCCCAGATAATATTTATGTATGGGACCCACTTGAGTAAGGAATTCAAATGTTACTTCACATAGATTTTTATTTATTTTTATTTTTGCATAACATCCCCAATATTAATTGTCTACCTATACTTATCCAGGGATGGTCTTGGCATGGCACACCTAAACCAAAATACAAAATAAATTTTTAGGACTTTTATTATATTGGTGTTATAAGAGGGGATGGATGCAGAACCTGGAATGAGTGACAGATAAAGAAAGTTAATGTGCATATGATAATTTGTTTTAATAGACTTGGATTAAACTGTTAAAGTAACAAGCAAGAAAGCACACCAAGTCCTTCAACGCTTTGGATAGGTCTTTATTGAGATAAGCAAATTTCCAACGGTTTTGAATGCACCACCACCGCAGAGTTTTCAGAAAGACTGCGCTAACGGAGCACGAGGAAGCAAAACAACGCCGTCCTTAAGAACACGGTGATCCCAGAAAGCGCACCCAGCTGCAACGGGGAGCTTACACAACACTCACAGCTGCCATCGGGGCCTACAGCGACCTGCAACGCTTACAAATAAAAGTAGCAGGGCCGAGTTTAAAAATCCGAATGAGCATTATTTCCTTCGTTAAGGTTCGCGAACTTGCAAAACTGGACTGAAGAGAGTTTGTACAGTACACCACGCCCATTTGATGTGACGCTACACTCTAGGGGACAATAAAACACGGACAACTACGTATGAACCCGTTGCACTTTATTTTAACAAGACCGCTACAGTAGATTGCTTATATCTTTCAAGTTTTTTTTTTTTTTTTTTTACACATTACAACCACAAACTTCCATGTTTTACTGTTACAGACCAACAAACTGTATGACTGGGAAATAAAAATTAATGAACACACTGGTTTACAACAAAAATGGAAAAGTGTGGCTTCTACATTCAGCCCCATTTACTCTGATGCACTTAAAATGGAGTTGGGAATGTCTGTCGGCTGAAGATTCTTTGATTCGTCTTCATTGATTCTTGGAAACAGTTGGAGCTCAGTCAGATTGGATGGACAGAGAGCGTCTACCTAGAGAGAAAGCCTTCACTTCTTGTCACAGATTGCCTGTTGAAGTTAGGTCTGAACTTTGACTGAGCCATTCTAAAACAAAAAAAAAAAATAAACCATTCCATTAACTCCGAGTTGCTCTAAATTTAGAGCTGGGGTCTTTTGGGTTCACTTTTGCTCAAGTCTCCAGCTTCATCCATCTTTGTATCAACGCCAACTTACTTCCCTGGCCCACAGAATAATGTTGCCACCACCAGGTTCCAGCATTGGCAAGGCCTGCCACAGCATTTTGTTTGGAGATTAAAATATTAATCATTGCCCTACAACTTGGCCATCTTTTCAGACCATTAAGTGTATATGTTTAATAACATTTGGTGAAAAACAATGCCTGAGAAGAGATGATGTTCTTTTTTTTTATTTCCAAAGCGTTTGTCCAGTTGGGAGGCCAGTGTGTCAACCTCTACAACGAACTCCAGAGGGAGCCACTGAGTACGTGGGGAGTAGTCAGCCACCGACCTTCTGATTTATTGATTGACAAATCAAATTATCTGCTGTGAGTCCGTCTATATGTGCACATCATGAAATCACCTGAGCTGATGGTCATAACCTAAACTCCTTTTTCTCCCTCATGAGCCACTTCACATCTCCAGCCTTGACTTAAGTGGTTCGTTTTTGCTGCTTGCGTATGAAATTGAGTTCATACGCAAGTTATGAACTTCATTTCATAGCCTGAAAGTACAGAGCTCATAATCCTGACAGAAGGTTATTGTGAGGAATCTATCTCTAATGTTGAATTGCATAAATGTAATAAGGAAAAAACATAAGTAAGTACTAGGGAAAATGAACAATTAGTATGTTGTGCTGCTTAACAGTGTCATGAAGTGGGGTTGTAGGTGGTGAGGAGAGACGCTGAGACCCAGGTTATGGTGATGAAGAAGATGAATATATTTAATGATGATGCTCACAGTCCAAAAACAGGCAGCACGGCAGAAAGACAGGCACACAGCCAAATACCGGTAGCAACTGATACACAGGACTGAAACGAGAGCTAACGCTATCCAGGACTAAACAGTTCTACTGGAGCGAACATACAAAACTGAGACGTTAGACATTGACAAACGACAAGGACCCGACGAGGAACACAGACAACAGGTGGGTTTAAATACACACGGGGTAATTAATGAAACGAGACACACCTGGGGATCAATCGGGGAGGACAGGACAGAGACTCACAGGGAAACAGGAAAACATAGAAAAACTCAAAACAAACACAGATCATGACAAACAGGTCTGATGTTTTAATCATTTATGATATATTTCAGTGGTCATAGAGGTGTGTCTTAATAAATTAGATGATCATTTTAAAAAAAATAATTTATTTCAGTCAATTCAAAAGCAAGGGAAGTCAAAATTATGACTTTGTGTGTCATAATTAGAAAAATAGAGGTTTCATGTGACGTATATTTCCTTGCATCGTGGAGTTTTCCTGCCAAAAGTCCAAAGCTTCAAAGCTTTTTTTCCCATTCTTATTACTTTTTGTAACTGTTGTCCTGTGACACGGTGCTCTGGCATGCTTGAAAAATCATTTCCAAATTATGTTTCAATTGATGGCAGAAGTTTTTCATGAAAGATTCAATGATCCAGCTCAAATCATGTCATTGGACAGAACTGTGACAAAGCTCCATCTGCTTTTCCCTCGTTGGTATTTTCAAATTAAAGCATTTATATTTCAAACATAAACTCGTTCTACACTTATGTCCATTATTTTGGATAAAGTACAATAAAGATGTGCGATACTGGACATATTTTGGTGTCAATCCAATACCAAGTACATGCAGGATATTGCCGATACAAATGCTGATACTGATACTTTTCATTTAAGTTTGATCATCAAACTCCTGACCTACAAGCGTTTTTGTGTTCTTTCCTTTGAATTATTTTGTTCAAGCCTTGGACAGGTGTTTGGACAAAGTGTAAAAATGTCTACATAGTTTATTATTTTAAAGGTTTTGTTGGCTCTAGTGGCCTTTATTTGAAAGTAGTTTGACAGGGAAGAGGGGGAAGACATGTGACAAATGTCACCAGGCCGGGAATCGAACCTGCAACCACCACCACGAGGACCAAGGCCTCAATACGTGGGTTGTGCTTTGCCCCTGCACCACCACAGCACACCTCTTAGTTTATTATTTTTGATGTTTTTCCTAACCAGACAAACATCTGGTTAGGAAGATTCAAGATTCAAGATTCTTCTTGAATCTTTTGATTCAAGAAGAATCAAAAGAAAATTCTTCTTGAGGTTGAGTTGTGAAACTACAAAACAAAAATTTTCAAGAGGAAATCGCAGACACTGATACTAATCTGGTGTGATATTAACATTTTGGACTGATCCGGCCACCACTAACATACAATAGTTTTTTGGCCTAAGAAGTGGAATTTCCTTGGACATCACAATGTTTACTTACTGTACAGTAGGTCATAATTCAGATGTAACTGGGTAAAACATAAATCTCAGTGCTCAGTGTCGCCATCAACAGTTTGTGAGGTTCTAATTTGTGTTCGTAAATGACTCCCTTTCTAATATGGCGACGACGTTGACGTAGTCACACATCCCGGTTGCGCGAAATACGCATGCCTGAACTGAACAAACGTTTTTTTGTGTGTGTGTATGTGAAAGAGACAAATTTAAGTCCTGCAAGTGTCTAATGATTAAGTTTTTATTGGGTTTTTACGTCACTCTGAGATGTTTTATGATCTGAACGATTTATCTGCAAAGACGGGAATAACCAGGCAGTTCAGTCTGTCTGGAATCTGCAAGGCAGAGGATTAACGGTGTTTTGCAGATCTATAGGCATACTCGGTTGTGTTTTCAGCCGGCATGTTCAGCGTGCTTCCCAGAGCAGCTGGCTCTGCCATGAGGCAGTTCCAGCTGCCGTTTGCCCGCTCAGAACCCCGCACGTCGCTGCTGCAGGTCCGCTTTGCAGCTTCTGCGACCCTCCGCTTGCTGGAAGACTGCCTCGGTGAGTTTAGCGACAGCCGTTGCACATCCGGTGTACATCTACTTCCATAATGATCTCATGCGCTCTGCGTGTGGAAATCACCAGAGGTCAGCTACGAGGGGACGCCGATGCGTTTCAACTACGTGTGGCTGCGGGACCACTGCCGCTCAGCGTCCTCTTACAACTCCGCGACCCACCAGAGGAGCCTGGACACCGGGAGCATAGAGCTCACCCTGCGCCCTGAGAGCTCCGCGGTGGAAGACGGTCAGCTCGTCCTCACATGTGAGTGTGAAATGCTGAGTGAGATTAAACACAGTGCAGCCCCTTCGGCTGCGTTTATTAAGACGGGTTTTCCCAATTGAATTTGCTCTCATGCCTGTCTAGTACAGCTGTACCTAGAAATCTGTTTTTAACACTGTAATACTTCACAGTATAGCAGAACAAATATTTGTTCCACTATAATTTAAAGCATATCTGCTGTTTTATAAAATAGGAAGCATGCATTTTGGAGTATAAAATTACACCAACTCTTTATTTGAGCAGGATAAACTGGGGTTAAGATCGGATCCTATGGGAAGATACGCTAGTACTTTTACAGTATACAGTGTATGATGACCTTTACCCTTTGTCTCCATAAAGTGACAGACGATATAGATTTGCTTCGTTGCAGGTGACGCCAAGAATCCTTTAGCTTTTTTCCATTTTTTTAAATAAAACAATTGGTTTTCAGTTATTGATTTTTTTTTCCAACAATAACTTGGATGCAAAACAGACCCAAAAATGTTGCGAAAGATGTAAACTAAGACAAATTAGCTGTATGGAATTAAAAAAAAAAAACACGCTTTCCTCATTCTATAATAAAATGTTTCATTGGTAAGAGGTTAGAAGGTCAAGAATGAATATGTTTTAGATGGGCTAAAAACTTATTTTGCGTCTCTAGACTATTTGAGACGAACGAGAAATAGTCTGGTCACCATAGCTGGCATCTCAGAAAGACGTTTTTCTTCTTCTTCAGCCAGTGAAACCTACTATAATAAACAGCTAATGATTACTTCTATCTAATTAAACCCCCATGTGTGAATAGCATGTTTCTTTTAATATCTAAATTAATAAAATGCAAAGTGATAATATTGTCATTATTGACATGTAATTCTCACCAGTAATTACCCTGGTCATTACTCATTAACCCCTCACGTTAGTTAATGTGTGGAGTTTAAATGTTCTCCCCGTGCTTCCTCCCACATTTAATTGGTGTCTGAAATAAATTGCCCCTTGGTTTGTTTGTCTTGTGTGTAGCTGTGGTTGATTTTTAGGCCTTTGCTGAGGTAGATAAAACTGGCTTCAACATGTAAGTACAGTAAGTATCGGCCGGTCACCGATCTCCCAAAATGAAGGAAATCGGCATCGTTAAATCCTGGCCGACGTGATTTTTATTTCCAGACCTTTACTTTTTTAAAACACATGTATGTTTAGAGAAATACCATTCCCTGGAATCATCTTAGGACCAAATGATGGGAGTGGGTCTGCCATAGTGTTAGTATGCATCACAACTTACATGAAGTGACAAATGAGGAGGTGGTAGCCTCCAGACAGACGGTGGTGATGTACGGAATAATGTGGCGCTTCATGTTAGCTCAGCATGTTCAAGGTCAGCTGCATTTGTTGATTCACGAGCGCCGTGCTTCCGACACCTTCATTTCAGTAAAAGCTCAATCTTCTAAACCCATGTAGGTAGGTAGGGCTTGAGAAAAGGGACAATCACACACAAAAGAAAGTCCTTCAAATACAAACCAAATAAGAAACAAACTTCAATTTATTCAGAATTGATTGCAATGCCACTCCGCTTACAGGGCCTGGTGGCCACGTGTCAAAGTTCAGCCTCGGTTGGTTGGCCGAGAACAGCCATGAAGGAAGGAAGACGGTCATGGAGCAGCCGCGCATCTTGTGGAACGCTAACGTCTACCAAAACGCTCGCATATCAGCAGCCAAATGGGACAAGTTCATGAGCTCCGACAGCGAGCTGAAGAAGTTCCTTCAGAACTACCTTCTCTATGGAATTGCCTTTGTGGACGACGTTCCGGCGACGGTGGAAGCCACTGAGGAAGTCACCAGGAGAGTCAGTCTGATCAGGTAGCACTTTTTTTTTGTTTCGGATTGTTTTGTTTCTAGTGTAGCTATATTCATCATAGATTGCATTACCACGTGAGCAACATTAACTGACTACTTGATCTCTTTTTTTGTGTGTGATTCTTCAAAGAGAGACTACTTATGGGAGAATGTGGAGTTTTACATCCGATTTTTCCAGAGGCGACACTGCCTACAGTCAGCTGGCCCTTGACCGTCACACTGACACGTCTTACTTTCAGGAGCCATGTGGGTAGGTACAATAGAATGTGCCATACCTTTTCTAACTTTTCCAGACTCTGGGGACTTTGTACGCAAGACTCTGACTCATATGAGGTAGAAGCCTAGCCCCAGTGGGCCTTTACGTAGAACAAGCTGCTGTTTTATCACTGAGAAGTGTCGTTTTGGCCGCTGTTGCAGAATCCAGGTGTTTCATTGTCTCCGACATGAGGGTACTGGAGGGAAGACGCTGCTGGTGGATGGCTTCTACGCTGCGGAGAAGCTCCGCCAGCGCTCCCCCGAGAACTTCGAGCTGCTGTGCCGCGTCCCCATCAGGCACGAGTACATTGAAAACACAGAAAATCACAGAAACCACATGACCGGCATTGGCCCCGTGCTCAACATCTACCCTTGGAACAATGAACTCTACATGATCCGGTATGCTGACGTTGAAATCCAATGGATTTTGGGCCGTAGATGTTGATGAGTTATGCTAACTGTTTGGTGCCCTTACGACTCCAGATATAACAACTACGACCGGTCGGTGATGAACACGATGCCCCACGACACCATCCAACGATGGTACGTAGCACATCGAGAGCTCACCACAGAGCTACGGTGGCCGGAGAACGAGCTGTGGGTGAAACTCACTCCAGGCAAAGTAAGAAAGCTGAAGCTTTAATCAGGAATATAAAAGCTGCACAATTGAAGTTCAAAGCTTAAATGTAACGTAAATATCCTCTTTCTCTTGTCCCCTAAGGTGATTTTTATTGACAACTGGAGGGTCTTGCATGGGAGGGAATCTTTCACCGGCTTGAGGCAGCTTTGTGGATGTTATCTGACCCGAGACGACGTCCTCAGTGCTGCACGCTGCTTTGGACTACAAGCCTAAACATACAGATTCTGTCATTTCAGTGCCTTAATTGTCTGACGTTGGACTCGGAGTCCCTTCAGTCCAGGAAGATGTTCTGCTTTACTCATATATATTTTGTAATATTGCTTGTTTTTAAAGGTTTTTTTTTCTTTTAGAATTGAGCAGAGCCGTGTGAGAAGCTCAAGGTTTGGGATATTGTCTTAGAACCTAATCCTTAAGATTCTCCGTTACCTGACTTGTGCTGTTCTAACTAACCTCTGAGGCCTTCACAAAACTTACAGATTCACACTGAGATTAAATAATAAAAAAACACACAGATTGACTTTAGGTGTCCTCTGAAGGCTGAAGTGACTGTGCTGAATTCTGTGTATCAGTCAATATGAACATTCTTCATATTTTTCCTATTTCTGAAAGAACTTTATTAAATAAAAAAAGAACAAATAAAATGTATTGTAGTAATATCATAAAATGTGGAGAAGTTGAAAGGATATAAATATTTTGTTCTTGATTGAGCAGTAGTGATTGACCACTACAGTGAACACAGTGAATTTTTCGGCTTTCAGCCTCGGATGGATTATAAAATCCTCAGCTGCCTCTTCTTACCCAACGGTTTTATAGGTTACAGTTTTACGAATGTTGCAACCGACCATTCGTTTACAGCGAAAGTGAATGAATGGCTCAACAAAGGCTGCTTTTCAGGTAACGTGAGGCTTTTATTAAAGCTAAAGGTGTGTCGAAAAATAGCTACTTCTTAAAAGCATCCAGCAGTTACTTTATAGGTCTCTGTTAAGGGAAACACATTGCTCATTTATTTGCTGCCTTTACTCTTGCCAAATCAGTAATAATTTAATGTTCACTTGCTTTGACATTGGCACAGGGCAGGAGACCTGTTATTCATTAAATGTGCTGCTAAGCCAAAGAAGAAGTTATTAAAATATAGTAGTTCGTTTCCTGGTGTAAAATAAATGTATGCCTTTACGTATGCAGATTCGTACATGGATTCTAATTAAACCAGACACTTTTCTGTCAATGGAAAGATCCAGAGATTTTTCTAAATGTTTAGAAACTGATTGAAAGAAAATCTGATGCAGTGCACTTGCAGTGACTCGCAAAAGTATTTATACCCCTTACACCTGTTCCAATTTGGTTTTGTGGCAACCAAAAGCTTCAGATAGACCAAAAACAAAGCTTTTCTCAGATAGACCAAAAACAGGGGACAGGTGGATGATTTTCAATATTAATTTTATAAATTAAAATCATAAAACTGCAGCATGCATTTGTATTTAGCCTTCTTTACTCTGGTTACCTGGCAAAATCACCAAATCAGTCATTTTATTAGTACTTTTTGGGTTCTCAATATGATTCCCTGATGATAAATATAAGTAGATATCTAAAAGGAGTTGCAGGACTTTCAAGATGTCCTGCAACCTGAAGTCTTCATGAAGGAGAATAACAGAGTCTGACATTAATCAGGGTCTGGGACATTTATGTCTACGTCAGTATGAGTTGGATGGAAAAGTAGTAAATGTAATAAAAAGCTAATGGAAAATGAAGATGATGAGTTTCATCTTATGAAGTGAAGTCTGGTCGTGATTCATGTTAAACAACAGTTCCAAATGGTCCATCATTTAACCAGTGACGTCCATCCAGTTGCTCTCAGTCGACCCCGTCTCTTCAGCAAAGGATGTTGCTAGATGTAGTTGCTATAGAAACCTTACCCAAGCAATCTGTGGCTCCCTCTAGTGGAAAAGGAAAGTGTTTACCTTCCACTTTTTAGGTTAAAATCTTAATAATAAAATGACATAAGATATGTATATGTATATAGTCTAAGCCTATCAACACTCTAAAGAAACAAAAGTGAACGTGCCAGGAAAACAATGTTGGGTGTAAAGAATCTGGTTGCCAGAGGAAGTCACAAAAACACGAAAGGCTGACCTACCTTAGTCCTTGTAATATATATAAACACACATACAAAGCTAATCAGAACTGATCTTCCTGACCATGACTAGTCTGTTCATTTTACACTGCTCTTTTTTTACAGGTCAAATTATTATTCAACCATAATAAGTTTTAAAAACAACAAACTGATCACATTTGAATTAATTCACTCTGGATCCTTATCCAATTTTTTTTAATTTTTATCATTATTATTGCAGCCATCAGCAAGTTTCTGGCATAACTCCAGTTGGAACTTTCACTCTCTTAACTAAATAAAACTGTATTATTCATTTGAATTGGTTGGTCTCTACATAGTTAGCAAGCCTTTAAGTAAAATCTATGCATTTGCAGTTTCTATAGTTTAACTGTTGCTTTGAGCTGAGGGGGAGAGTTTGAAGCATCATACAGCCACTACCATGCTTGAGTGCTGGTACAGTGTTCTAAGGTTTGAAATGCAGTTAGAATGTATATATTGTGGGCAGACGTCAGCTGTGCTTAATGTTCACCATATTCCAGATTCCGGAGGGCAGGATTAAGACTGTGGGAGTTAAATTTGTTTCACAATTATTCAATTAAAAAAAACAACAAAAAAACAATCATGTCAAAAAAAAAAATTCAAACAAAAACACTTATCTCAATTAAGCAAAATTAAACTGCAGTCAAAACACTTTTTAAATTAAAAAAAAATTGTTTAAAAAGCCTTTTTTTTATTGAAATCACTCATTTTTGTTTGAAACTTTTATTTGCGCATGCCAGATTTTTTTGGTTGACAGCTTAAGTTTTTGGCTGAGTCTAAATTTTTTTTTTTTTTTTGGTTGAATAATTGTGAAACAAATTTAACTCCATATTGCTGGGTTGACTGTTCACCATACAAACCGATATCCTTAAAACTCTGAGAAATGTATTGTCGAACAGAAAAATGATCTTTTAATGCACATAAAATATTATTTTAAAGTTGATAAAGTGGGCCAACACTATATACATATTTTTAATCCTTGACCTCAGATAAAAGCCTTAAAGCCACCGCTGTGCCAGAAAACAGTAAATTTAAAGGAGCTAATCTACCAGCTGATTTTTAATTGGCCACATAAACTCATGCTGAAATTCAAACTCGCTATAAAACATGTCAAGTAACACTTGCTGTGCAAATACATATTAGACAGCAAATTTGGTTGTTGTTGAATTGTGAGTTGCATAACTGACAATGGGTCAAATGCATCAGAGTAGTTCAACACTCAAACAGTCATAAGCAATGAATTTCTCTGACAGACAATAAGTCTGATGTAATGTAATGTAAAGGCTTAAAACGTGCAGATTGAGAAATAATTTATCAATATCTGTGAATGTATTTAGTTTTTTCTTCTTCTTCTTGCGTCCTTTTCACTTCAGGTGCCTTCGATACAGCGAGTGTCGGCCCCACACCTCACTGGCTGGTTTTGACCTGAGTGAACAAATCACAAAGCAGAGGTGTGTACAAAAAAAAAAAAAAGTGTAAGGGTCCCCTGTTCAGTCTGTGTGAGCTGCTGAGACAAAACCTGTGAGGTGGGCTCAAACGCAGGATGTGTTAATCAAGCAAACCCTTATGAATGATTCATTTATGTGCATTTCATGTGTAAATCAGTCATTATTAGCCTCAAAATGTCACCTTACAACTCTGCCAATGAACTGAAAGTAACTGTACACTCCCACTTAAATTTTACTAAAACCTATTTATCTTCATATAACAGATTGATGATTTTGCCGGGAATGAGTGTCCATATTCATGATATGCCGCTCGTTATCTGACATCACATCATAACTGCATGCAAGAGTAAGTGGGTGAAACCATGTAAATCAGCACTGTGCATGTTTACAGCGCGCACACTTGAACTGGCCCCCTCTGAACGGGCCGGCGCTCGGCATCGTTTACATGCAGCAGGCATGGATGCGTATTCCGAATGCGGTACAGAGATGCAGTCACAGTCCTCTTCTAATTTCCACTGACAATGAGGAGACTGCTGCGGTATCCATGGAAACTACAGAGGATACGGAGGCGTGCCCACCAAGTTGTCCTGGTAACTGGGTGAATGAGACGATTCCAGCTGAATGTAATTCCCTGCTTTCAGGGCCAGTAGTTTTGATAAGTTTGGTAATGTGACAAACACAAAAAGGAGCATACAAAGTGCTGAAACATTTGTGTAAATATATGTGTGTGTGTGTGTGTGTGTGTGTGTGTGTGTGTGCGTGTGTGTGTCGTCGTTCTGGGATTTATTCTGACTTAACACCTCACAGCCTCACAATGAGTAGCTATAATATATAAAACATTATATCGTTATAGCGCTCCTGCAGGGAGTTTATGTTTTCTAAAAGTAGAAGTAACTGCTACTTAACTATCTTCCTGCCTTAACAGGGAACCTAGCAGAAAAAAATCTTTTAAAAAAATGTAATTTCCCATTTGCTAGGTCCGATATCCACCTTTCTTGAAAAAAAACATTGAGTACATATATATATATATATATATATATATATATATATAATTTTCCTCTGTCAGCGTCTGCCCATACGCCGACAGAGGGAGAGAGACGGTGAATCATACATGATTAATTGTCTGTAATTACCAGAGGCTGACAAAAGTGATTAAGGATGTGAAGAATGTTGATCAGGGGTGACTGGAAGGGCGAGGGAGGAGAAGAGGGAGGTGAGAGGAGCGTGTAGTAAAGGGGAGGGAAGTGTGTGGAGCTCATTACCCAGAAGACACTTGTAGGTTGGGAAGAGAAGACGACCTCGGTGTCTTCAGACTCTGATCAAAACAACATGTGTTGGCAGCTGTGTGTTTGAGTGCACTGATGTGACAGAGGGTGGTGTGTGTGCATGTGTGTGTGTGTGCGTGTGCGCAGGGGCTCTACAAATAAACGTAACAGCAGGACTCATGACAAGCCGGTGACAGTTCAGGAGGTTTTTCCCACCATGATGGACGTGAAAAACCGCGTTCAGGATGAGGATATTTACTTAAAAGCAGTAGTTTTGTTCTTTTACTCCAGTATAAACTGAGGTGGAAAAATAGCCTGTAGACCACAAATTATTCATCGTCCAAACAATTCTAGGGAAATGACTCAAGCTGTGTAGGAAATGGACATTTGGAACGCAACTTTCAAAGCTGCACTTTGAAAATTACAAGCTTCGTTTCAGTGCCTGGCTTGGTTTCCTATTTTTGTGCAACCTTTTTTATTTAGTTCTCGCTATTAAGAAATGAGGGTTAAAACACAACTGATTGGCCTCTCAGTAAAGACTGAACCATTTTTCATTAGCTGAATGAAATTACTATGTGTATAAATATAAAAAAAACCCACCAGACTAAAGCCAAAGACCATAAATATATGCAACTTTAAAATCTTCTTTCTTACCACTAAAGCACTATATAAATAACAAATTCATAATTAAGATGATTAAATGGGTAAATGATGTTATTACAAAGTCATGCATTTGTGTCTCATTTGGGTCAGATTTATGCACAGAGGCAGCCACTTTTGGGGTACATGTTTACACAAGCACATTAGCATTCATATTATTAATGTCAACATTCGTCTTTCTTTTTGCAGCCAAGTAACTGAAACAAATTGAAATGCTAAAATTGACATCAACAATTTTGACTGTGTTATGAAGAAAACACGTGATTTTACGGCTGCAAATATCAGAACAGAAATGACATTTTAGCTAAATGATAAGATTAGCAAATAATCATTGATCTGCTCAACACCATTTGTTCTTCTTTGTCTTTTATTAAAACTTAAAAGAAGTCAGCCTTTGCCTTTATCCCATGGAATATAAGCAATTAAACACTTTAATAAAGCACTTTAATGCTTTAAAGTGCTTTTATAAGTTACATTTTTAGAACGGGGTCAAATTTGTGAGCCAGTGCAGCACAGAAATTAATTTAGCTACATGCTAATGCTAGCATTTCTTCAGACAACACCGTCGTTTTTCTTTTTATTCAATTAAAACTTTAAGATCATTCCTCGATGCAAGCTGTCCCCCTCAGCAATGTCTGGAATCTTTGACTTTTGCTCCGATTTCCAGGGAGGAATGCTCTATGATCAACCTTCAACCTCAAA